GGTGCGACAGACTTTTATTGGGGGGTTTCATTCCTACCAATCAGTATACAAACATGTGGACATCTTTCTTTGAGGCAAAAACAAAACTGGAATGTTTATGCCTGCTTCCAATGACTTACAATACAACTCACTTTAAATAGATTTTTGTTTTTGTATTATATCATTAGAAATAGCAGCAGATTTGAAGAAGAAATGAAGGGCAACATTTTCACCTCTGTGGTAGATTTAGCAGTACAAGTATGTAGCTGTTAATAAATGGCGCAAATAAACAAAAAGTCAGTTCTCAAGAGCCCAAACAAAACTATTTGAGTAATGTTAAACTTTGGAGACTTCTTTTGTGTCAGAGCTAATACTGTCATTTAAAAAGAATAAATAACCTTATGTAGTATACACAAATTGCCTGTGTTTCAAAAGTGAAAGTAAAATGAGGAAGATATAGCTAACGGAAGAAAATATCTTTTTACTTAATTTCTTATGTTTTTATAAATATCTTAACCTTATTTATTATTTAAAATGAACATACTAACTTTAACTTCTTATGTTATGTTTATATGAATGCTTGTATTACATTTTATAAATGTAGTTTATTTAATCTATCTATTTATTATTATATTTTAAAATGGCACAACTGTCACAAAACCCAACTTCCCCGGAAATAAATGAAGAAATCTATTTCTGATACATTTGACATAAAAGTAAGTTCCATGCAGTAAAATAAACATTAAAGGGCCCATGTCATGCTTTTCCGGTTATTACCCGTCCCCTTGTGTGTTATGAAGGTTTGTATGCATGTAAACGGTCTGCAGAGTCAAAACCCTCAAAGTACACCCTGTAGCGAGTAAAACTCTAACACAGTCTATGCTGCCCCAAAACGCCTCGTTGGAGATTTCTCATTTTCCATTGTTTGCTTCCTGGGTTCTGTGACGTGTGAACACCCAAAATTAACCCCAAATGGACCAATCCGCGGAGCACCTCACACACCAGGATCCCTTGACTAACTAACAGGGAGTCCCCATTGACTTGCATAGAGCTCTCTGAACGCTGGTAATAGAAGAGTTGGGATCGCGGAGAAATGCTCTCCGCAGACCCATTCTCACAGCGTTATAAACCTTTTCCTACTTAATATCAAGCCACACTTATTGTTTTGACTTCGGCTGTGAGTGTTTGTGTGTGCTCAGGATGAGTTTCGCTGTTTCTCGCTGTATCGCCGACCCGGAAACCTGTCCGCTCCTCGGAGCAGCTCGCAGCAGCGGCGAGCAACAACGAGCCTCGCAACGTCCCGACCAATCAGAGCACACTGGGCAGGGAGGGGGCAGGAGCTCCAACAAGGCATTTAGGACTGAGAGTGAATACTTGGTAAATACACATACTATACAGAGATGCTGTATGAGAAAACAATGTGAGTTTGGAAAATTGCTTGTGCAATTTTCCAAACTCACATTGTTTTCTCATACAGCATCTCTGTATAGTATGTGTATTTACCAAGTATTCACTCTCAGTCCTAAATGCCTTGTTGGAGCTNCCAGAGACCTAACCCCCCTTGAACACAAACACACACACACACACACACACACACACACACACACACACACACACACACACACACACACTCCTCTGTCTTTTTGGAGAAAGTGAGTGGGAGGAGTCGTGTGTTCATGGAACAACAACAGCGCCAGCAGGAGAAGGCTGCAAACACTGTTTACCACTTTACATTGTGGTGGCCAGAAACACCAGCACACGCTCCCTAATGCACTCAGAATATTGATGTACCAGTCTTTGTAAGAGTCTGGATCTTTATAGTAATTTGCTGCCTTCCAATGGATATTGTTAGATGTGGGTACAACAGCAGAAGTCTATGCCGTCATGGACATTAATGTCGGCTCCTAGCGAAGCCAATACATTAGCAAGCTAGCAAATGCAGGAAGGCAATGTGACAGGCAAAAGATGATGCCCTGGGTACTAGCAACATGTACCTAAGACCTATTATAGAATTACCAAGAAAAACTTTATATGATTGTAAAAACAATATAATCATTTACATTAACTTTAAGAGTCCGGAAAAACTGTGAATCGGTTATCTTATAAACTTAAAAAACGCTGTTATTTCGTAAGATTATTTCTTGCATTACCTGAATAATTCGGATGGAAAATCCCCAGTTGTAATTTCATGTTTTATGTTTTAAAACAAGGAATAAAAGAACAATGATTACCTCTTGAATGACAGAAAAATGCACTTAAACACAAATAAAAACAGATATCTTGAAAGTGGTCTAAATTAATTTCATATGACAAAAACAAAACATTCATGAGATTTTATAAATGTATGAGAATCTCTTTCCTGTGACAAGGACTCAGTTTACTTATCCTTTAATCTTAATCCTTTAATCTTCATAGGCTCAGTTAAATATGTATGACATACATACTATACAATATCATAGCATCAAACTCATAGTAGAGAAGATAGAAAATAAACTTAACTGATACATTGATTTCCACTACATCAATGCCTATAGCATTTACTGCAGGTGTTTATACTTATACTCTTTGTGCAGATGTTGTCTGGAAACCTGTTCCATCACCCCTCCTGCACCTCCTGCTGGTCTGCACTGCCTCTCCTGTAATGCTTTTATCAGATAAGATTTCGATCTTTACCTTTGATGTGGAGCGTGGTCCGAACGTGCAACAATAGCTCATTCTATACTATTGTGAAATGATACGCTTGGCCTGGTTCACAGGTCTGCTTTGGCGCTCAAGACCTCTCACCTTCTTATATTACAGCTCCACACATCACACTTTACGCCTTTGTCTTGCCGCGTTCAGGCATTATTTACAGCATCATCACATGTTTAAGGACTTAAGCCAAAAGCATCCGACAGACCCATTTCTCGTCCACATGCTGCAGTTGAAAACGGTTTAGACTCTTTTTATCTGTCTGTGTGTGAATGCTATTTGCTCTAAATTCGCGCTCTCAATCTCATATTTCGGGGCTCTATATGTGGGGCATGTTGCACTCTGACATTCTCCTGCTATTAGAAAAGGGGGTCATCTCCTCTCCACCGCTGAATGTGACCTTTGTTAAAGGAATCATGGGACACTTTATACAGTGTGATGATGAGCAGAAACAAAAGTCTGGGATTAAGCGGGAAGTAGAGAAACAAACAAGTGAACTCGTTAAAAACACAATAGGCCCTTGTGTATTTGTTTGTGTGTGTGTGTGTGTGTGTGTGTGTGTGTGTGTGTGTGTGTGTGTGTGTGTGTGTGTGTGTGTGTGTGTGTGTGTGTGTGTGTTTTACATTTTATATAAGCAGTCAGAAGGGCTGAGTTTATCTTAAGATACAGTACCTGACTTTAGTACTGATACTAAGATAATACTCTGATAATTGTGTAATATTTCTCTACCAAAGTTTCCATTTTAAAAGAAGCCAAAGTTACCCAAAAAGACATGATGTTTTAACACAAACAACCAAACAATTAATAATTAAATGCAGTTTAAATTAATGACATTACTTTTTTTTTGCTGTGAAAAGTTGTGAATGACTTTGCAGCTAACATGTATTCTCTTCCAGTTTTTAATGCAGGATGAGTCTTTTTTAGGTATATCTGTGGCACGAAATATCTGAGCTGTTGCTAGGAGATTCAACGATGTTGCTAGGAGACATGCCTTTAACTTCCATGGTGACCTACTGACTGGAGCTCCTCTTAGTTCCGTAAAGCCGTTAAAAGTTGATACAAGATGTCTTTTAGCACTTTTAGCAATAATGATGGTGATGATGGTGCCAAAATATGTCCCTTTACAAAATTCAACATTAACAACTATTAATGACATCAAGGTCTTTTTTATACTTTTATTTTATAGATTTCTATAACATTTCGGAAAGCAGTGAAAGATGAAGAAGAAGTTTCTAAAAAGTGACGTTTGTTTAATCACAACTAAAAGAGCAAAACACAAAGATATGCAACAAATTCCCACATAAGAGAAGTTGGATACAGAAATGTTTGGGCATTTTCGATTGAAGAAAGGATTTCAACTATTATCCAAAAAAGTTGCAGATTGGATTTTATAATTGGTCTATTTTGTTGCTTTTCACATTTTGGCCCACCAGTATTTCCAGTTTTTTACTTTTGAGTCCTGCCCCGTGGAGAACACTAATTTAACTAATCTCGCTGCTTTTCAAAGTTATTTAATTCCAACAAAATGTTTTTTTCATGTACCCAAAGAAACAATATATTAAATATTTGATACCACCTTATATCAGGGAAAGTTTTGTTACTCAGAGCTACGGTCACTTTTCAGCTGTACCAAAAAAAGCATTGCAAAAGGAAGTATAAATCATACACAGATGACTACCAATAGTTGTCAGAGGAGCAGTCAGCAGTGGTTTTCATCTGTCAGCTGCAGACATGGAAAATGACGTCCAAGTGTGTGTTAAATGAGTTGTGACCCACGGCTGTTTGCAGCCTGCAGACCGGTGCAGGAGCCGTAGTTCTGCAAGAGAAAAGGAACAAAACAGAAAAACAAACGCCAGTGAAAGAGTGAACCTCCCTGCTCATCATCATCATCATGGCCCCATTCTTCCTCTCTCAATTGCAACTGAATCACCTCGGTCTCATTACAGATTATGGCCTCAACAGAGTGACTCTCCCCTTTCTCTCGCCTCTCTCCACACAGTCCCTCTCCTGATTAACATTTTCTGCTAGGCTTCACTCCAAAGGCACAACCTGTGCGCTTTAAAGGCAGGGTGAAAAAAAAGCCATCAAGCGCTGGAGTGGAATCAGATAAGGCTATCAGGCAGGAGGCTTTGCTGCCTCGCTTTGTCCTGCTCCTCCACCCGCCCTTGCTTCCTCCCTCAATCTCTCACTCCACTGCACCTTTTGTCCGGATGATTCCCTGACGGAGTGCTCCCCTCAGCCAGGACCCCCCCCCCGACCTCCACCACTGCACTTTGCATGGGGGTGTTTGTGTGTGTTGGTCTGATGTTGAACTTCCTTACACTCTGATTCTTTCAGCATTTTCTCTTCACCTTAGTATACAATTAAAAATCGAACTTTTAACATTATATGTAATATTTTCAAGTCAAAGTCAACTTTATTGTCATTCTTCTGTGTGAGATACAGACAGGGGGATCAAAATGCTGTTTCTCACAATCTCGAGGACTAAAAGTTAAAATATCACATTTTGCCTCCGAACACATGCTTTTCAGACACTGTTTCAAAAGATATCTTATATCAACTCGTATATCTGTAATTTCATTTCTTGTCATTTATTTGCTGATTAAATCAATATTTCTACAGTGGAAAAACATTAAATATAAAAATGGCCCTGTCAGAAAGCAAACGCAAATTTGTCTAATGTCGGCTTGAAACCATTAAATGATTGCCTGGTAATGTTTTGGTACATATTTAATACAAACATATGATGCCAAACAGATTCGTATTGAGCAAGATGAAAACAAAACAAAATAAGATAACTTTATGAATAACTACTGCACAATTTAATGAAGATTCATATGTAGCAGTATCTGTTAATCATACATGTATATGTTATGTGTTTATCAGGTTTGATCCTGATCTGCAAAGTGACCCATGACTAGAAGAAACGTATGAACCAGATCAAAACACATAAATGAAGTTAAGTAGTGTTAGTGCTGATTTTTGGGAATTTGGCTATTTTTACAATGAGTTCCCTCAAAGAGAATTTAAGTATATTATGAAGAAAAAAAAACCGGTAGACTCAAAAGATAATAATGCATCTGTATCCTCCACACACACACACACACACACACACACACACACACACACACACACACACACACACACACACACACACACAAACAAATATAAATCTTTCCATTTCTGTGTTGCTGGCTCACTTTCTCACTTTCCTCCAGATGGTCAGTGAACCTCAGTTGTAAAAGAGAGAAGGTGGATCTATTCACTCTCTCATAAGCTTCCATTTCACTTTAGCAAATTGACCGGTGCGCTGATCCATCCAGCCACGGTGTGAATGTGTGTTGGTGTCTTTTGAAGAGCTAGGACTTTCAATCTGGTCCCATGCAGGCTGAGCAGGGGCTGCAGATCGGGGTCCTGCAGCCCCTGCTCATCACAGATATTTGCAAACAGATGCGTGAAGCAGACCGCAGGTTTTTTTTTGATCAACCAAGCTTTAACAAGTCAATTTGACTAGATGTGAATGTAACATTTTGCATGTGAAAGGACGAGGCCGGGGAAGGCCTGGTTTCGATTAGGCCTAAGCTGATAAATGGCGGATTCAAACAGCCCCCCTGCTATTGGGGAGAAACCCCAAAGGTCCAGGGGTTTAAGTCCAGACTGATATCAACTCTGTGGCTCCTCTTTCTTCTCCAAACCGATGAATAGATTCATTATTCAGTAGACTCATTCTCATCTCCTAAATTGAAGTGGCAGCAGCTTAAAAGCCACCATTTTCTTACCCCTTTTTTTTCCAAGTCACTTTCCATCCCAAATTTGCCTACTGAAATATTCATGGGTGTGGTTAGCCTCTGTTTGCTCCCCCTTGGGTAATCATTGTTTTTATCTCGGACACCTTAATATTCATCATTTGAGCTAAAGAAATCGCCTTTTTGTTTAGCTTGTATATAATAATAATAATAGGACATGGAATCTTTAAAAAGGCAGTAATATGAGATTAGGTACTATTTGATGAACACGTAGGACTGCATCAATTATATTAAAGATCAATTGTTTTGCCAATATTTTTCTCAATTATCTGTTTGGTTAATAAAATGTTTCATATGATGTTTAAAATGGTTGAAGATTAGATTTCATAATTGGTCTTTTAGAGCAATTCAGAAGTTCCAGTTTCTTACTTATTATTCACTTCTTCTTTCTGTTCATGCTGTCTTCATTTCCCAGAAGAAATTTCCTTAGAATAAATACTTTTTTCAAGCGATTGACCGCTGTGCCTCCATCATCTATTCATCTCAATTTCTTTCTTTATATGAAAAAAAGAAAGACTCAGCAGCCAAGTGCCACTCTGCCCCCCCCTTCATCATGGCCAACTGGACGCCTGTGAACCCCTCGCCCTGTATTGTCCACACTCCATGACCCTGGTGTGACCAGAGGAGAGAAATATTGCTCTAATCCACTCCGCACACACAGAGAAGCCTAATTCTGTTACTCAGGCTGGAGCCCACTGTTGTGTATAGTATCAAATGTATTACACAAATGAAATATTGCTCTTGTGCAGTCAGAAAGTCCAGTTTATATGCATTCCACAAGCTCTAAAGGTTGATCTTTGTCTTCTTCTCTTCTGTTTGCAGTCGACTTTTTGGCAAAGTATTGCATTTTCAGTCAGGAGAAGCTGGCTGAATACAAAAGAGCTTTTGAAGCAGTAAGTGAAAAGGCTTTTAAACCCTTTTTATTCTGGATATCTTCTTTCACTCACTGTAATGTGTTGCACCCTATTACGAGCAATGAGACTTTCCTCAATGACGAGGATGATAGTCCTTCAACTGACATTTATTTTCAGTATTTTCTTAAATAGAACATTAAGCGTTTGGTGTACTTATTGGATCCTTAACTGAGAATTTTTATTTTGTATTTCTTTGCAGGAGGACAGTGATGGCGACGGCTACCTCTCCGGCCTTCAGGTTCTACTTGCTCTTAAAAACATCATCCCACCAGAGCTGCTGTCGGACAAAGAAGAGATCTATGTCTATAGGGTACCGTAGACGTACCGTGTAAAAAGAATACATACATTACTTACATACACACTGAAACGAAAACTTTTTAATAAATCCATAGTGAACAGATTGTTGAATTCTCTTTTTACATTAAATCATGAACCTTCAATAACGCTTTTGCAAGAGATCTAAGCTTTTATAGGTCATTTACTGCAAATAAATATGAAAGTATAGCCTTTTAAAGGAAAACCAATTTGCAAAATAACATTTTAAACCACATGATGGAGTCTCTGTAACATAGCAAAGTCTGGATGCTAACATGTCGATGTTGAGAAGGTAAAATGTTTGCTATGGTCACCATCTCAGTGTTGGCATGCTAAAATGAGCTAATTAGCACATAACCGATGTAGTACATCTTGAGCTGATGGCAACGTGTTAGTTTTGCAGGCCTTTAGTCTTGAAATTGGAAATGTCTTACCGTGCGCTATAAGTCAAATCAGAGGATCACCGAAGTACAGTTAATTACAAATGTGTGTATCAAGTTTCTCAGCAATCTATTAGGACTCAAAACCACACATTTTAACCTTTTGTCTGGGCTAAAGGAAAAGGTCAGGGCCTCCCCAAATCATCACTCATCATCTGTGGATCATAAAATGTCATGGCAATCCATCCCATACCTTTTGAGGTGTCTCAGTCTGAACCAAGGTTCTGTTCTTTTTGTCTTAGATCCTGGAGATGGTGGACTTCAGAGTGACAGATGGGCTGGTGGACCTGAGGCTCTTTGCTGTGATTGCGAGCCTGGCACAGAAAATAGCCACCATGGAGTAAGTGACCTTCAGCAGACACACTCTGAACTCCTCAATAAAGCAGGAAGACGAGTCCACGACCTGCCATAAATAAGAATAAGTGTGTGTGTACGCACATTTGTTCCAGTGATTTTGTCGACGTGTGGGGTTCTCCCTTTGATCCTCTTCTCCTTGTGTCTTCAAACGTATGACTTCAAAAGTCAAAGTCATGACATTGGATGTGATAATGGCAAATGCCTGAGCACTTAAAATAATTATTTATATCATTTTTTTTATTGAATATATGTGCTTGCATTTTTTTTGGGTAGGAGCACTTTCTGGACTCAAAAAGAGTGTGTATCTTTGAATTGTGATGCATCTAAAACCCTTTACTCTAAAAAGCAATCCTTTTAAACTCTTAAAAATGCCTTTATTGTAATAAAAATCATGTTAGACCTAAAGAAGAGCAGATACTTTTGCCATCAAGCTATAATCAGGGAGTTTTGTTTGAGGTCCATCATGAGTATGCAATAAAAATATAGGCATTTTATTAATTGAAAAGTGCCTTGAAATTTTTCTTATGATAAATAAATGTGCTTATTGGACTGGCTTTTAGAACAAAATAAACATTTGAGGAGGTATAAAAGCATTTTTGTCCATTTCCTGATATTTTCTTGTCAAAACAGTTCATTTTGAAAATATTATACAGATTCATTTATAATGATAATTCTTTGCAGCCCTACATTGAACCCAGTGCAGACAGAAAACATGATTCTCTATGACCCATATGCCGCAGATTCCCACACACATCGCTTTTTTTTTTGCCTGAGGGGGTATAGCTTCCTACAGACAGGAGTGTGTGGAGCCATGCCTGCTCTGGAGGTCTCTGAGGGTCAAAGCCTGCTCCCGAAGCCCTCACCCCGCAGTGAGAGCTCCCTCTCAGCGAGGACGGGGTCAGGGTCATGGGTCCTCTGATTTACGGCCAGCCCTTTGTGTGCCGTATCAGAGGAGGACTGGAGACTGGAGCAGAGAAACCAGGGTGTCTGCTCTCTATGGAGGCAATTATAGTAATGATAATGAATGACCATATTAAACCTCTTTCCACAAAACTCCTTTTTGCAATTTAAATAAGAAGAAGATCAGGGTTCATAATGCCGGCTCCTAAACATGGCGAAAACAATAGCATCCTTCTGTCATCTCATCCCAACTGAACTAAATTGATCCTCTTACCTGCTTCACTTAATCCTGTTGTCTCTAATCCTATTTAAGAAATGAGCTGCTACAGTAGTTACACAATCAGATGTTCTGATCATGTAAGACTTTGAAATCTGAGGAGGTACTTCCTGAATTTCTTTCGAATATTTATTTTTCTTCTTCCCATTTAGCCTCGCACTAATTGCACCCTTCCCCCCGTCGCTCTCCTCTTTTCTTTTCAACTTTAACTGTCCTCCCCTCTCATGTCTCTAATCTCCCCCGGCCTTCTTGTTGCCTACCTCTTGCCCTTGCTGTTTTGGCCCTTGACTCAGCCCATCTGTCCCTGTGTAGCATTGTGCTCCCCAACAAGTCCACCTCACACAGCGCCACATTCCCTCAGGGCAAGTCACATGACCTGCCAAGAAGCACATTGCCATGCAGGATTCCCAAACGGCATCAGTGGAGCCATCAGTGTTATTGTCACTGTCCTTAATGCTTGTGTGCTGTGTGAGCATGCATGTGTGAGCGTGCATGTGTGAGCGTGCATGTGTGCGCGAGGAGAGTTACTGTAAGCGTCCTCGCTCCGGGAAACTCTCCGGACTAAATTAATCAGGGAGTGAAGGAGCACTAATGATGGCACTGCTGGACAAAATACTTACATCTCTTACTAAACTGAAAATAGAACAACTCTGACAACATGTAAAAGTCCACATTTTCAAAGAGGGAGTGAGTCAATCTGCCCAATAGCCCAATTAAAAAATGTGATTATGTATTATATTTGCACATCTTTACTATATGAACTGCTTGGTAGCTTGTGAAATCCAGCCATGAATGAATAACATTTTATATTAACCTGTTTAACCATATTAACCATTATTTGTTGTTTATGTTTCTCATCTCAATCTGAATTTTCAAAGTGAATAAATTGATCAAATAAATGTAGTGGAGCTAAAAGTTACAATATTTGCCTTTTAATTTTAAAGTAAAGACTAGCAGGAAGTCTAAAAACTCAAGTACAAGAACTTCAAAATTGTACGTTATTGCGACAATTACATTCATTTAATTTCTCTCCACCTCTGAATGTTGGTGAAAACATGACACAGCAGAAACTAGAGCAGCCCCCCGCCACATAAACTGTCTGACAACACGAGTCCCGCTCAAATATATCCCAAAACAACTCTCAATTCTGTCAAGTCAAACTAGGTCAGAATGTGTTTGCATCCCTTCACCCCCCGCAGGTCTGTATACCAGCCCACCAACGGGGAGAGCGCCAAAAATGTTGGGCATTACGTAAGCGAGAAGTCTTCTGTGTCGGCCCCAGCAGGGTGCCAGAGGAGGGCGGGCCAACGAAAATGGGTTAGGCTGCTATTATCTTCCCCTCAGTCCATCAGCGGACCCTAAGCACCTCGTTTACGCCCGCCATTATCACACCAGTGTCCTTAGCACACCAGCATTCGGACTCTTTTTCTGCAAACCAAGTGCAATTAATGATCATTAGCTGCCCTGTCTCGCCTCATCCCCGTCAAGCCCCCGCCTTCACCGGGTTGGAGGACAAGGGCCAATCACAGTGCAGGGAGCAGTCAGACGTGCATTGCACTCGTTGGCCTAGTGCTTGGCTATTCTTCCCTCTTGCAGGCCATTGAGCGAGGAGGGGCTCATTAACACCGGGCCCTCGTTAGAGCCGGGCTGACGGTCGCTGTGCCACACGCTGCAGAGGACAGCTCTGTCCCAATACAATTGGTCGTGTCTCCCTCCAATTATCCCAGTGGACCTACATTTTGTTGGTCTGCCAGTATTCACATTGCACCAGAGTGTGCCCAGGTCAAGATTCCCCTCCCTAAATAAACCTCCACACGAACCCCCACTCACCCTGCTCCAGCACCCCCCAACCACACCCACTGTCCCAAAAACCAGTTTTATCCGTTACTGTGGCGGGATGTCCACGTGTGTCCGCGTATTGTTTGTCAGCCAGGCCACTGTGAGCAACCACAATGGGCTCAGAACACTTTACCATCACAGCGCTCTGCAAACACAACATTGCACTGGATGACCCGCCAAAAATCACCCGCCACCGCCGAGTGTCCTCAATATGTCTTCAGTGGCAGCCAAGTATTTATCAACACTTGTTTTTGTGATTCACAACAACACTGTTTGGACAATCGTTTGATTGTCAAAGTTGCAACTCACCACTTTGAGATGAATTGAGATGCATTATGGGAAGTGTAGAAGTTTGAACCCCACAAGGGACAAAATATATTCACCTCCGCTGACCATTCTTGATGTATTCTCTGTCTTCCCCCCACTTTATGAAAATGCAACACTAAATCAGTAGAGCACTTCTTTGAAAACCATGATCACATGTTCATGCAGAAGCAACTTTAGCCAATTGATCACTTTTTTTTCTTATTCCAGTGAGTTTATGCGATCACAAATCACCAACATGGACTTCCGCTCCTTAGAAGTGAGGCTCTTCAAAGCAAAGGTAATGTAAAGGTTTGGCTTAGATTCTCATGCTGTTTTATGTGTGCTGAAAAGAACTCCCCACCACATGTTTGCACTCTGTTTTCACAAGGTGCACTTGATTACCTTCGCGCAACATCAGATTAACTCTCCCATGAGTCACATTCATGACACAAACAATGTCTCGGCCTCTCTTTTAAGGCTCCGCAGGTATAATTATAATGTAATAAATACTAGTAAACACTTTGAAGAGCAATTCCAAAGCATGCTTTGTAAAGCTAGCTTTTTTTTCCAATGAAAGACACTCAGCCCTCATGCATAGAAATGAGGGAAGCAAGCCAGAGAGAGAAAGAGAGGGGTGCTTTTCCCTTTCATAGATTAGCAAGGCACTAATCTCATTAAAGTGCCCAGCAGTGAACATGCCGTCCACTCCGCCCTGCCCTGTAATCAGCCCGGGACACACGGCTGATCTCAGATGGACCGGGACTGGCTAGCAGCTGGCCCAGGCCCGGCCCTCTTTCATGGAAGGAAGTCCTTACTAACTGAAAGGCAGGAGGAACATGAGAATCGGCAAAATGCCAGAAGGATTATTCCCCCTCCCCCAACAATTATCACCTTGACTGCGTTAACAGTGCAAACAGGTGCACTCAAACAAGGCAGGTAATACGAGGCTACCTGAGTCACACACACAAACACACCCACTTCTGTGCTTAGAGTGAGGCCAATTGACGTTTTTATACTGTTATTTATGAAAATTGTTATTATTATGATGCAGCAACTGTTCCTGTTCCTCCTGGAGGAGCAGCATGGAGACGCTGGAGCTCTGCAGGGCTTCATCAGCACGGAGCAGCTTCTTCTGGAGCTGAAGGCCGGAGGAATCCACCTGGAGCAGGAGGAGGCCATCAGGCTGGAGCTGAAGAGCACACCCCCCCTCGACCTGCTGGACTTCCTGGCCCACCTGCCCCTCTTCATGCTCATCCACAAGTCTGTCATCGCCAACCCTCTCGATGACTCCAGCAACCTCTGAGCTCTTTCACTGCAATGCCAGGTATCAGCCTCACTGCCACTATACAGTCAGTACTGTACGAACAGAGAGCTTAGATTCAAGGGAATGAATTAGGCACTGTGGTATTATGTAATGCTACATTGAAAGTATTAATCTGTCATTAAAGGCCTAGTCATTCAAGCATGTAAAATACAAATAAATTGGTGCTTTAAGTCAAATGGTTTGAACTGCAATTTTGAGCAGCTGAGTGGAAAAAGGTTTCACAACAGCTTCTCTGAAACTCTTTCCGACATCCACGATATCTCAGACTTGGAGAAAAGAACTACAGGAATGTCAACAACATGTTTGGAAAAATAGCTGCCAATATAACTCCGCCAAGAGCCAAAATAGTCAGCTTTTGACATATCTGATGCCTTTGGAAATAGTGTTATAAATTACTGCAAGCTTGTTAGCAATACTTGCTAACGGTTGCAGACAAACACAGTCAATCCTCTACAAAGCAATTCAAAGTGGTTTACAACAGAATAAACTGTAAAAACATTCAAATAAAACTTGTGCTTTAGGCATGGACAAACTGTGTTTTGGCCCAGCTAGACTTTTTAAAGGGGACCTATCATGCAAAATGCACTTTTTGATGTCTTTTATACATACATATGTGTCCCCGGTGTGTCAGGGAACTCTCAAAGTGACAGAAAACGAAATCCTCTCTCTTTTCCTCCGTACCCACAGCTTTAAAAAAAGAAAAAAGGGGGAGTGCCAACCAAGTGGCAAACTCTGGGGCAGAGCCGGGACGCCAATAAGGAAGTGCCACAAACTGCAGTTCATCTATTGGCGATGACTGCAGAAAAGATACATTTCCATAGTCCCCCATGTTAAAATGCCCAACTTTACAGCAGAAATAAACCTGTTTCTGCCCCTGGATGCAATAACAATTATCTGGGATATAGTTAGATTCCACCTTGATGATTATGAATCTGTGAGTGAATTGTTTTATAACGCGACCCTTTTATGATTCACCCTTGGGTAAGACTTTTATAGTCTATGCCCTATGACACCCATAATGCTAAACGGGAGCAAATGTTAAAATGGGACTGTTCTGGCAGGGGTGCAAAAGAGGGGGTATGAGCAGTGTGAGGCATGGCTACAATATATTTTTCCAATATAGCATAATAGGTCCACTTCAAATGTACTTAATTCCACTTATGACTTCCCCAGAAAGCTTGATATTTGCATCATCAATGGGATAATGAGAGATGTGTATAGAACATTTACAGGACTGTCTCAGAAAATTAGAATATTGTGATAAAGTTCTTTATTTTCTGTAATGCAATTTAAAAAAACAAAAATGTCATACATTCTGGATTCATTACAAATCAACTGAAATATTGCAAGCCTTTTATTATTTTAATATTGCTGATTATGGCATACAGCTTAAGAAAACTCAAAAATCCTATCTCAAAAAATTAGAATAGTTCCTCAGACCAAGTAAAAAAAAAAGATTTATAACAGCAAAACTCAATCAAACATTTGAAAATGTCCATTAATGCACTCAGTACTTGGTTGGGAATCCTTTTGCACGGATTACTGCATCAATGCGGCGTGGCATGGAGGCAATCAGCCTGTGGCATTGCTGAGGTGTTATGGATGCCCAGGATGCTTCAATAGCGGCCTTTAGCTCATTAGCATTGTTGGGTCTGGTGTCTTTCAGCTTCTTCTTCACAATACCCCACATATTCTCTATGGGGTTCAGGTCAGGGGAATTTGCAGGCCAAGACGAGACGACGGAAAGTGTGACGTAGTACAAAGATACAGACAGCTCCCACATTGCTTGGCGTCCCCTCGTTCCGGCTAGATTAACCGTTTCAACTTCGTTTTGTTACCGAGTTGATATAGGTCTCCTTAGAATAAACTTAGTAGTAAGTAGTCACAACTAATTCAAACCTACCTTCTCTTGTTGTCCGACTCGCAGTACAACACACGTGACCTCTTGTTATTGTCCACCAACACGTAGTCTTTTGCTTGGAGGGGCGGTTTCGTCGTAAATAAATAACGTTTTATTATATTAATCAAGACACCGGTGTAAATTTCGCAAGATTACGTTATGAACAAGTCACGACGTCTGTAAAGTCCGGTACTCTGTCGTGAATGTCGGTATATCTGAGTTACATCGTTTTCCTTTTGTTCCGAATTACCACCGCAAAAGGAACTATGTCCTGACAGAGTCTTTAATCTTATAACACTATTTCAAGAAATAAAAGACATTACGTTAATTTTTTGTTTTACATATGTAAAGACCTAAGAATGGTCTTTAGTTGAATTTTAATAACGTTCGGAAAATAAGTAAATTATAACGACTAATACCCGTATGTCGAATTCTTTGAGTTTATAGGATAGAGCATTTATATTTCTTATGATCATCCCACAAGTTGCATAGTGAACTTAGCAGATTAAATTGAAGCTTTGTGGACGTCCCAAAGGACTCGGAACTTTTTGTGAGTTACGAACCAAGTCATTTTTGATTTAGTGTTCATACCCCCTTCTGACGACTAGACTGAACGACAGGTCTCCTGCAGTAACTTGTGGGGGAGGTAGTCCTCCCACCCTGTAGTTTTTCCTGTAAAGAGTTTCTCGTTCGCAAGTGTCTCACGTCAAAGTTTCGTGTAGGTGTTTTTCCCCCAGACACCTCCCCCTTTACACGTCCTTTGCGACGTGTTGGTCTCTCCTACTGGCGTAGGAATTTGTCGTAACACTTCTCTCAGCGAACCAGAGCATCTTAAACCCCCTCGAAGTTTCTGTCACCTGACTTCGACCTCAGGTCCCCATAGGTTTTAAGTGACAAGTGTCTGCACAGGCCTTTACCCCGAATGTTACTCGGCATAAGGGTACCAGTTCGGTGAAAGACTTTGAGTTCTGTGCCCTTCTCCGCATGACTGACCCGATTCTTTTTTCGTCGGACCTGTCAAACGTTGTCACCAGGTTTCAGAGAAAGTCTCGCTTTCCCGTGGGCAGAGGAGAGCATAAGTAAACCTTCAGTTCGCGGTCTCAGACCTCTCTTCCGGACCTCTCCTCGTTTTAGGTTCAACCCCGAACCTTTAGGCACACTCAAGGGTGCGTCATCGCTACCAAAACCCCTCGGTTACAGGTCGACGACCACACCAGGTGAACACAAGTAGTTCGGGTCTCATTTACGGCGACACATGTTCTCTGAAATCTCGGTCTGATGGTACGAAGGCAGACGACTTTTCGAGATACCTCTACTCCTTAAGTAAAAGGTCGTACTTAGACCGTGTGACAGGTGTGGTCGACGGTTTTGGTGGTCATTGACCATGACGGTACCGTAATGACNGTTTCCATGGAAACGCATCCCTCGACATAAAACACGATGTCGCTGTCCATTGGAGTAATGGACACGGTCCGATCGTCCCCCAAACTTCGCTTGTACATCACCGGTCCATGCCTCAACAGCTATATGTCAAATCTGACATCTCACCATATGCCGTTTCCATGGACACGCATCCTTCGCCTTAAAACACGATGTTGCCGTGAAGACATCTACGGGACAGTTTTGAGATTTCTTCAAATGCCGTTGCCATGGCAACACAATGCTCGCCATGAAACACGGTTTTCTCATAACTTCAGTGAAAATGCTTCAAACGGCCTAAAACTTCACAGGTTTGGTAACAATGCAGTCATCAACGCATCTAAGCGTATTATGGGATGTCATCAAATGCCATTGTTATGGCGACAGATCATTCGCCATCAACTTAGTTAAAACGTTTGCAGTTCAAATATTTTGCTGCTTTTCCAAGCCTTTTTACTTTCTTTTCTTCTCTTATCACACATTCAAGCCCCCAGTGTCCATGTATTATTTCAATCTAAATTCTTCACTGTCTTCTTACACATTACATTTCAGC